GAGCCGGGCCGATCGCCAGCAGCCCGTAGAGCTCGGGGGTGGGGCAGGGCCACATGAGCAGTGGCTGTCCCTGAAGAAGCCGTGACTCCAGGCAGTGTGTGCTGGAGCAGTTCACATGTGAGGGAAACTGCAGCTGTGGGCAGACCCAGATTGGACTTTTGAGAACTTTTTTTCCCCTATGGAAAGGGGGCCATGTGAAAGCAGAGAGAGACACTGGGCTGGTTTTTTTTCCTACTCCTGAGAAACACGTGGCATGAAAACCGACTGTAACCCCCCACTCCCATCCCCCTGCGCCTCAAGGCAAAGGGGGAGAGGGAAGGTGAAGGAACCGGGAACAAAAGCTGAGCCCACGAAGAAGGGAGGGGTGGGGGGAAGGTGTTTTGATTTTAAGATCTGGTTGTATCTCCTGTTGTTCTACTCTGATGTTGGTAACAAATTCAAATGGTTTTGGATTTTATTCCTTATGATGAGTCTGTCTTTTGCCTGTGACCTGTTTAAGTGGTGAGAAGCCCTCCCAGTCCTTATTTTGACTAGCCCTTTTCTGGGGCATCGTGGTGCTCAGTTATGCACTGGGCCTAAAACACAACAGTGAGCATGCTACTTCTGAATAATTTCTGGAAAGTTGTCTGAGACCTCTTCAAACCAATTTCAGACTTAAAAAATGGAAAAGTGCAAAAAACCCAGAAGAACTTTTAAGCATGAATGCTGTTTGCTTCTCAGTAAGTTCCTCTTAGTATGGTCAGGACCACCTAGGGGAGAACAAACACCTCATTTTGTGCATGGTGTTAAGACAATTTCTCACCAAAATGTTTCAGGTCATTTCTCCCAGATCACCCAAGGCTCCTGACTTTCTTTCATGGGCTCTTTTAGGTTTTAAGACTCTCCTGATTTCAAACTTAGGAATTAGAAGCATCACTCCGATCTTGACTATAAAAGCCACAAAGTCAAAATTTCCCAGGCTTTATTATCAAGACTTAAAGATAGCTCTGTCTTCCTTCACTCTGATTTACTTTCTCTGTTCTCAAAGGACACCAAGAACAAAAGTAAACAGGAAAAAGTTGCTTATAACATTTGTAGAAAACATCAACAACAGTATTAAGGCAATACTTACAATGATGCAGGAATCTTAGATGAGATAACAGGCTTTTGTATCCAAGCTAAAGAATCCAGTTTGCTAACGTTACACTGGATATTTCCTGAAAAATAATCAAGGGATAACACAATCACATTCTTGAATTAGTTAACAGCTGAAGAAATTCAAGACACTTATACATACCAGAAACACGACTGAGATATGTAAACAAGACTAAGATGCCAAATAGAAGTAATATAAAATCCTTGCTAAACAGAGGAGACACTTTGGCTACATGCAAAACACATCTTAGCCAAGAGCAAAACCCAATTTTTGTCACTTTCAACACCATAAAAATGAGGACTACAACCTTATTTCATAACCATTATTAGCTGGATTAAGAAAACTAAGTTTGCAACTATGATCACAACTTTGAATTTTTTATATATTTTTAACAACAAAATATGCTACTTTAAGAAGTGGTATTTGGCAGAAAGTGCTTGTCTTAGGAAGAACATTTCAGAAGAGAAGTATCAGTACAGGAATCCAAAAGACAAAGAGAGGACTATTCCTCACACATACCTCCTTCATCTGCTGCTTTTTTGCCTTGACCACAAGGTGAAAAAATCAGGAACTACTACACAGGCAATTGCCAATTTTTCACTGACAGCGCATACAAAGGGAATGGAGAGACACCCCCATTGCACATAGGCATAACAGCACAGATCTTCAACAAATCAATCATGCAACTAAAATGCCTACACATAAACTTCTCTATCCGATAGTTTTAGGCCATCTCTCTGGCCTCTGTCTTACGTAAAGTCCCTGAATCACACTGTTGAGACATCTCACATCCACCTCACTGATTTGAAGGGAATTTGGGCCAGAGGAAGAGGAACAATGCATCCAAACAGTAGAAGGCTATGTTTGCTTCTGTTTTCTAATAGTCTTAATCTACACAAAACATCTAAATTAATTTCTGATAGGAAATACCTCAATTTTTATTGGCAATGTTTGTCACTGATTACTTCTTCTTAGAGACCCTCCTCTAGGAAAATACATGCAGAGGAAAATAAATTAAGCCTAAAACACAGAATAAATTGTTATAGGCTTCTGATCTTTTGATTGAGCAAAGTATTCCATTTTGCCAATAGACGGAGTCAGCACAAAAGACACAGGCACCAAGTTAATGCAATGGGCTTATTTTAGTATAACTCAAAGCAGCAGGGAGGTTAAAACAGCAGAAATTATAAGCAAGGTAATGCACTTAATCATTACTACATAAAGTTAACTATAGTGATTAAGAAAGATACATCACCAATTACCCTAATATTTTACCATCACCCAGATCCATGCTTCAACTGGGGAGCCCCATCACAGCAAAGGATCAGAGAACCGTTCCTGGCAACTGGGAGGTCCTACACAGTGCATCCACTCATAGGTGAGGTCTCCATCATCACCATCAGAGGGTCCTGCTTTTATACCACTAACAAACAAACCAAAAGGACATAGTGCATGGAAAACATCTGGTGGTTTGGCTCGCTTCAGACGGGAACACTCCAGATCTGGCCAGGATCCCAGGTGTATCCAAGGAAGTTTCCGTCTTCCTTATTAACTCGTGATTTAAAAGTCCCTATGGGTTTATTTACAGATGGTTTGGCTCGCTTCAGTCAGGCATGCTTCGGATCTGGCCAGGATCCTGGGTGTGTCCAGGAAAGCTTCTGTCTTCCTCATTAACTCTTGATTTAAAATCCTATGGGTTTATTTACAGATTCCATGGGTTGTTCCCATGGTCCCCTGGTTGGGAGGTTCACTCAGAAGCCAACTCTGGTTTGAGGCGTGTGGTTTAGGCCTTTTAATTTCACATTCCAGCAAAGATTCACTGTTCATTCACTGAACACTGTAACTTAACATTAAAGTCTGTACACCTGCACACAGGAACCAGAAAACACCTGAACAAGGAAAACACAGGGAAAGTATGAAACTCAGCAATGTTGTGTCTGACTTATGGGAGGCAAACCAAGATCACAGTAACAGTTGACTCCTAGAAGGTATAGAAAGCACGCCCAAAAACAGTTCACTGTCACCAATCAAGACAATAGTAGGACATGCAGGAAAGACTCATGAGGTTATCTTCCACATTGCTGGAAGAGCAAGTTAACAGGAATGCAGCAGGAGCAGGCCATGCAACCATGGCATGGGAACTACTATGCTGAGACTGGACATAAGTGAATGGCCAACCCCAAGAAATCATCACTACTACATCAGAAATAATCTACTACTACAGAAATACTATTTCTGCAGGGAGCAGCTTGGCAGTAACCAAACTGCTAATTTAGCATTAATGTGTTTAGCATTTTGCTTAAACAGTAAATGCAACAATAAAGCAGTTAAGACACTTGCATGATGATCATCAGGTGAATTACTCACCTGTCAATTGGTTTCTATGATTCACAAGGGAACATGGACAACCAGATCAAATAGAGCGAGCAACTGCAGAAGGCAACAGGTTGCTGAAATTAAAGGGTATAAAAAGATAGCTCACTAACTGTGGACTAAGACC